ATAGAAATATATTAAAGATTACCAGTGGTGGTCAATCAGTGGTATATATAAACCTTCAAAAAATAAAAAAGAAGAAACAGAAATCAAATATTAAAAAACTAGAAGATAAATAGTTCTGTTTGCCTTTTCTTTTTTTATTTTCATGGGTGGGAGAAAGAAAGAATATAGAAATATATTAAAGATTATCAGTGGTGGTCAATCTACGGGATATATACATCTTCAAAAAATAAAAAAGATGAAACAAAAATCGAATAATAAAATTAAGAAGAATAATTAGTTCTGTTTACCTTTTTTTTTATATATATATATATTATTTTCATTTTTGTGCGTGAGAGAAATAAAGAGATAGGAATATATTAAAGATTACCAGTGGTGGTCAATATGTGAGATATATACATCTTCAAAAACTAAAAAAGAAAAAACAAAAACTGAATATTAAAAAACAAGAAAGATAAATAATTCTATTTACTTTTTCTTTTTGTATTTACATGGGTGGGAGAAAGAAAGAATATAGAAATATAATAAAGATTACCAGTGGTGGTCAATATGTGAGATATATACATTTTCAAAAAAAAAAAAGAAAAGAAAAGAAAAAACAAAAACCAAATATTAAAAAACAAGAAGGATAAATAGTTCTGTTTACCTTTTCTTTATACATATAATTTTCATTTTCATCCATTTTTCTAATATCTTTTTTCCACCATACATTTATTATCGATCGTAAATTTACTTCGTTACCCGATAATATTTAAAATTAAAATAATAAAATATAAAAGACTCCGAGAAATCAACGATATTCCATTATTAAAAATATCCAATAGCTTTTACAAATATTTGTATGAAATTATTTACATATGATATACACACATAATATACACTCGTGCCACATACACGTATCATATACTTACAATTTGAAGTTATATTACATTTCAAAAGTTTTCACATCGACGCACCATAATCATCTTTAAAATATAAACATTAATAATAAATTTAATGAATACAAAATTCTTCTGTATTTTTTTGTGTTCTTTTTTTTTATATTTCAAATTAATATTTCACTTTTTCATAGTGTTAACAACATTAATAAAATACAAGTTGAATAACCGCAACGAATATGGCAATGTTAGGATGATTGTTAATTACAACGAATATCAAAGAAGAACATGGGAGGGGGAGGGGGTTGACGGAGGGGTAGGGGAAGGGGGAAGAAAGTCAAGTCTATAACAAAACGCATATAAAGTAAATACTATACGTACATATATATATATTTGGTGTACGGATAAGAAGAACTACAAGGAATCCTTTAGTAGTAAACTTTAAAAGGGCTTTAAACTTGAACTTCTCTACAGGGTTTGTCAATTAGGTAATTAAAAGTTGATGTGTATAAAGGAAAGAGGATTTCTAAAGAGTGGGAGGAAGAACAGGGGGAAGATAACAACATGGCTTAGCAATTATAACGCTTGTGTGATAACTTCATTAATAATAATAATAATAATAATAATAATAATAAGCTATGTTTATATCTTTCATATCTTCTATCTCTCTTTATTACTCTCTCTCTCTTTCTCTCTCAGTTTCCAAAGAATTATTTATTTTTAATTATTTATTCATTTATTTATTTATTTAATTTTTGTTATTAACAGAAAGCATTATTTGATACACAGAAAAATAAACGTATAAAATGTTAAATTTAATAAAGGGGCAAGAAGTATTTGTACTATTTTTTCTAATTTTCTTTTTAAAATTGATTTTATTTATTTGAATAAAAGAATCGAAATATTTATACGTTTTTTATGTGAAATTAACAAATTGTAATGTAAATTAATATCGACAGGATTAAATAATCTAGGATCTTAAGTGGTACCACTTATAATTTAAATCGTACATAAAAATAAAATGCAAACGATAATAAAGTTAAAGGTAATTATTTTCATATAATAATTTAGTAGGATGAATGTGTGTGTGTTTTTTATTGTTAATTTCAACGGCATAGATCGTGCCGCCATATTTTATATTATTAACATCCAATCATACTTTCCGTACGAAGATCGTTCGACCAATCGCATTTACTCTTTTAACTTATCGACATATTTCAACATAACCTATAAATATAAATGAATCATCATATATTAATGAAAATAAAATACAATGTGTCATTTAAATCGTATCAGTAAGATTGAAGAAAGTTTTGTTAATAAAATTTAAGAAACATTACGTGTTTTATTATGAAAATTAACATAATAAAATAATAAATAGAAATATTGAAATATTGTAACTAACGAAATGATTATTTCAATACCGCAGAATAATAAAAATTTTAAGAACAACATAGAAATGTGAAAGCTAACAAACACATACACAAAATTATAAGATAACAACCATAAGTTTACTTGTTAAGACGTTATGTTAGCAAGCAGCTGGTAACAAACACTATTTGCGTGAACCAATATCGTTGACGTACTGAACAATTAACTACAGCTGGGAACTCTGTTGACATGATATTTAATTAAAAACTTTAAAGATACGATTTAGATAATAATACGATTTGATCAACCTTATCCTCAATTGGATTAATAGAACAAAAAAGAAAAAATGATGAAAAAGAATATTAATAATTTAAAAAAAAAATAGAAAATCTTTGTATTGATCGAAATATATATGAAATGAATTTATTCATTATAATCTGGTATTTGTTTTTCATCGATTCAATTCATTTCATAAGCATTCGAAATTCGATTAAATCAATTAATATAATCTTTTAGATATTCTTCCAATTTTTTCTCGCGATTTAATCCATTAATTTTGAAATGATCATCGATATAACGTTAATACCATTGATATCAACGTTTTTAATCATTCAATCGAAATTAATTAACTTTGATAATGCATTAATAATAATCATAGAAATAATTGTTATCAATAGTTTTGACAATATTCGTCTAATATTTTTAATATCTTCTAATTTTCATATTTCTAATATTCCACGATTAATTATTAACGCAATTATGTTCAATCATATTTTATTTATTTATAAATATTATTTATAAATTATTTATATTATTTTAAATTATGTAAAACTTGTCGAAATAATTTAACACACAAAAATGGTGCTTCTTCGATGTATTCTAAATCATTCCACCTTTATATGCATTTCAAATTCTTTTCTTACAATTTTCCAAGATTTAATTTTAAAATATATGGACATAAAAAGAACAATATTTTTGGTATCATTTGAATCCTTCCTCTCTACCATCCCCCCCCATCCATCTATTCAACAATTTATTTAAGATATTTGACGTATCTTCAAAAACAATTAAAGTATTTACACTTACTTTTTAAAGAAATCAATTTTTACTGCATTCTTTTGTAAAACGAATAAGCATTTGTTGTTTAATCATCGGATAATCATATTGTCGAAACCTTTATGGTGAAAGTGGTCGTTAATGACCCCATTGTTAATGCGACCACTTAAAAATAAAATTTTACAAAATGAAAAAATAAAAAAACACGGGT